CACGTATATGTTCACCATAAGGCGACGTCGTCGAAAAGAAGAAAAAGATGAGCTACTTGCACATACGCAAGCTAGTAAATGCGCGCGCACTTTGCGTCAACGTCGTCACCGTCAAAAAAGCAATTATAGCTCGCTCAGAAGAAAGAGAAAGCTATTTTCTCGTTTTGCCTGTATATGTATATACATATATATGTGCAATGATGTGATAGTTACATCGATGCTTTGCCTTTTGCTACTATTTGCTTGTGAACAAATCAACATTTTGCATTATTTCTTTCTTTTTTGCTTTTTCTCGCTCTCTCCCTTTTTCTCTGCCTCTTTTTCTTTCTTCATATGTACATATAGAATATATATACAAAAAAAGAAACTCGATTGATTCTGTTGCAATCAATGAATGATCAACATTGATATGGTCATGTACAATTTGCTTTCATGAACAAGTTTTTTCTTCTTTTTCTCCTTCTTTTTAGTTTTCTTTTATCATGACAATGACCGAAGACATCTAGGTCATTTCATTTGTTCTTTCTTGTCGTCTGGCTAACCATCAACTAAGCAATACAGTCTGTCGCCAATGTGATCGGAAGGCAAAACAATTCATGTAAATTTGATCGGTCAGTCACTATATTGTTTAGTGGCCAGACGATTGTTCGTTTGCAATGTGCATAACCTTATTTATGAAGGGCATATACATATGTGGTCAGACATACTCAATAAAATAGTTAAATAAAATGCTCACAACAGACATGTGCATTCATTGCTTGATCGGTGGGAAGAGATTAATTGATACAAACTTATCTAACACACACAAGCATGTTTAGAGGCATAGAAGAATAGACAATAACGAATATATGTTGGCATTGACCATCATAGAGATGATCTCCATTCATACAGTTTACATAATCGCGCATACTCTTTACTTAACGAGCTACTAAATCTTACCATTTTTCTCGATAGATTTCTTTTGTCTTGTTTGTTCTGTTGTTGGATCATCAATGCTTAAATGCGTTGAATCATTGTCAACATCATCATTATTATTATCATTTTCATTCTCTTCTTTATCTTCGTCATTTTCATTGTTATTATCATCAACATCAAGAAGATCATCAAGAGATTGAGGTGTTTTCATTATAAGAATATTATTATCGATCATCATAGGAGAATTTTTATCATCAATAGTTTCTTCAAATTCATTATTTGAATCTGGAGAATCAATTTTTCGTTTAGGCTTTAATCGTAAATAATTCTTTCGTTTTATTTTAAATTCACTCATTTTGTCAAAAATAACATTACCAATAAATAATTATATGTCTAAAAAGTAACATGAGACAAGGCATAATCTATTGATTTTGACAGAAAATAAGTAATTATACTTACATAAAATATCAAGATAATTTCGGTAAGTTTTAACAATAAAATATTAGATTATTTTCAATCATAATTCGTATCGATGATTAATACATTTTATATGGTCATTGAAAATGGTCTAAAAGAAGAAGAATTGATTGTCAAGGTCAGTTGAATACATATATACATGAGGAAGATCGACAGTAGTAAAAAAGACCTTGACAAAAGAAAAAGACCTTCGAATAACTGAAATGAATGACAATACAAGGTGATGGTAGGTAGTATTATAAGACAGTTTGCACCTCAGAGATAATTATCATCACCTGAAATATGAATAATTTATATAGATTTAATACTGAAATAAAAAAATATAAATAAACAAAAACGTACTACAAGAAAAACTTTACTGATTGGTTTGAAAAAAATTAACCAATAGAATATTAGGTGTAACCCTGTGTCGCTAGTAGATTTAATAAATATTTCTTTTTCAATATTAATCGAAGAGTATGAATATTTCACGATTTTTTTTTCAGTATCGACAAGTTAATAATTCTCATCAAGATTCATAGTTATATCATATTCACATCATGGTTAACATAAGCACGGATATACCTTTTTACTACAGAAAGTTCTGATGTTACCAAGAATCATTTAAATGAAAAATCCTGTGACATCGTCCGATAAATAAACGGAACTAATTTACACATTTCAATGAATTGTTGTCATACAATACTATGTTTGAAACTTTAAAGGTAGTTTTATAGATTTTTGAGTTAATTAAGTCACTCAAAATTTAACAAATTTAATCTTTCAATATAGACAGTTTCATATTTACTGAATGTGCTTGATTTCATACAAACTGTATATGTGATAGAGATTTGAAAATGAAGATTCGAACATTCTTTCTTCTCAAATCAATCATAATGCGACAAGTCGTAACAGAATTTTGAAAAACAAAATGAATGATCTCAGTTTAGTATATAATTCAATAGTCTAGATAATAAAATGTAGAAAGTATTTTTTCGAATTCAATAGACTTTTTGTTGAAAATCGAGTTAACCATTATCAGTACATTATAGTATAGCTTGATATGAATTATGTGTCATAGAACTGACATTTTGAAATATGTCAGTACTTTCTAATGGCACAGTTTAGTTAGTAGATGTAACCATAAGAAATATTTTTATGGTACTGTATCGAACATCTGTTTTCGAAGACAGTACGTCAATCAAAGTCAAGATAACAACAAGGAGTAATTCTTTTATGACATTTCTAATGACAACAGATGTATGAGATTTATTATTAGAGAACGAAAAGTATCAGCTAAAAATTCCTAGCAAGAAGATAAAATGATTCAATGAATAAAAATGAGAAAAATAAATAAAGACTAAAAATTAAACTTTATTAAAAAAAAGACAAAAGAAGTGAAACCGTAAATTTTGTTTCTTTTATGATAGATTTATATTCGTCTTCTGTTTTTGAAATTTATTTACAAATTAAAGCCTTTATCTATTAATTTATCATATCTGTTAAAAGAAATCATATAACACTATTCTTTGACTATTAATGTATATTTGTAGTGATATATTTAATCTATTATCTCAAATGAGTATATCAAGTTGTAAACATCGCAGTATAAGATGTTTTGTTATTCTAATAAAGAAAGACGAATGTTTAGTTTTGATCAGAGTACTAGAAGAATTATTGAAAGAGAAAAGGATCAAATTATGATAGAACATATTATTAGATCAAATGAATAATGAGCAAAAAAAGAAATATCACTAATGGCAAATTATGTGTTAGATTAATGATTTTTTTCTTTTTTTTTTAGTTTTATCGAAATATAGATTGATAATAAAGTATATGTCGATGATTTACGATAAGTAGTATGTATTGATTTGTATGAGTGTTACAACATTATGACTTTGTGTTCTGTTTCTAAATATCTTGATTGGATAAAATCTATTGAATTAGTCGAGTTTCATGAATATTCTCAAATTCTCAATGTGTTGTTATTGTAATCATTGTCGATCAAATCTTTCTTCAGCATTCTATTCTATATTACATAATCGTCAAGATTCTCTTGTTACAAGCATGGAAACAACGAGATTAATTCACCAATTATCTTCTAGCAGAAAAAGTAATCATCCAAGAAATTGAGATATACAAACATCGTATGAAAATGCTATTAATATCGATCGATTTTTTTTTACTAATAACTTTTACAGAATAATATTGATATCTATTTTGTTTGTCTTGATCATCTTATTATAATGAAAAGATTGATGTGAAATAGTATAATATATATTCTATTATGTGTAAATTAGTATATGAAATCAACGAAAGATCGAACATGAATGACATGAACGATAAATCAATTAAAAATTAGGATTCGTGCATTTATTATCAATTATTTAATTTTCGGAAGAAAATTTAGATTTCATATTAGCTTAAGAATAATATTAAAAAAAATAAAAATTTATATAATAAAACTAAAAATATTTTAACCTTTACTGTTGACAGTTGAATCAAAAAACGATTAGCAAGGCCTTTACTTAGCATATTTTATCAAATAATTGGATATATTAAATGCGTAAAATATTAATAGATCAGATTTTTTTTCATATTCTTACAATCTGTTTTACACAAATGGAAAGAACGTTTTAATTACAATATATAAAGATATACAAAGTGTACTACAATTTCGCGCAAAAAACAAAACATGAATAACTCTTCAATAACTCAATCAAATTTGATAAACTTTTCACCACTTTCAAAGCGCATACTCCCATGTCATAAAGGACATGTTTCAGATAAAATATCTACTTGTACAAATGTTAAAAGAAAACAAGATGAATATTTCTTTAAAGATGTCTTACAATGCTCTTATTAAAGTTGTACCGCATCATATTCAAAATACCAAGACTCACAAGATTCTTAAAGCCAAGACATCAGTTTCAGCACTGTACATTTACGCATTTTTCTCATGAAAAAAAGAAAGTGAGATTTTTAGGAAAGCTTAAAATTACATTTGAGATATAGTCTTAGATATTTTCAAAAGAAAATTTTCAACCCAATCGAACAAAGTTTAATGGAGGTAGCTCCAGCGAATTTCGACAGTGAGATGCACTACGTTCCGGGCAATACTTCTCGTAGATGACGGATTGAAAAAGGTAGTCTGATTTGATCGGTTTCATGCTCACCAGATTTAGCCTTACTTGATTTCTTTCTATAGGAATACGTGAAAAAGAATGTCTACCAGACTCCTATCAAGAATGTGAATAAATTGGCAGTGAGCCTTAAGAATGAAGTTAGTTCAATTGAAAAAAAAACCGTTGTGTGATGTTTTTTTTTTGATACTTCGAAAATGATGGATTTATATATTTTCAGTTGATGATAATGATTTCGAACATCTATTGTAAACAAGGTTATTTGAAATAAAACTTTAGAGAATAATCTAGGAAACAGTGCAAAGTCCGTCAATATCAATAAAGTTCTTGAAGAGTTATTCAAGTTTTGTTTTCGCGCAGACTTTTGATACACCGTATATTAGGTTCAATTATACTTAGTTAGCAGAAAGAAGTTTTACTTTCATAACATATTTATTTCAATAGATTTACTTGAATAATTGTAGAAAATCAAAAACATACTTCACTCTATTGTATATTTAAATAATCCTTCATAGCAACTAGATTTTTTTTGCTTTTAACGAATTTGCCATAAATTATAATTTCTCGATTAGGTACAGTAATTTCTAGTTTGAAAATATTATTGACAAAACTATATTCTTTCGAAGATAAAGTACCATCAAATGGCAAACAAACATAACGAGCACTCGGTAGATGACAAAGAATGGTCACTCTAGCACTTTGTTTAAATTTTTCAAGCAACGGTTCAAATATTTGACATCTATTATAAGTAAATTTACCATAGGTGTATAAAAATTTTGTGAACTTCTACTACATTAGGCATGTTAAGTTCTAACTCAGTTGCTCCTTCATAAGATGCAGTCGATTTTCCTTGACGAGTATAAATATTCAGTGTGTGATAGCCACTGGATCGAGGTCGAAATAAGCACTGCCATAGTTTTCGATCGACATCGAATTTAGCTAAACCAGACATTTTATCATGAGCAATTGAACATGAAAGACGGACAACAGATGGAGCATGAATCAATACTTCTGCTAGAGCATAATTTGTATTAAATATGACCATTTTTGTATTACGAGGAGATATAATTTCAAGGTTTAGATTAAAAAAAGTCGAATATACGTGAGGTAACTGAAGAAATTGTTGCATGGAAATGGTAGATGATAGTAATTGCCATTTGAAGTCTTCAGGTAAGTGGTCATAGATCATGTGTTCAGGTCGTGCAAGAAAATTATGAGAATTCAATTTTTTTTATATTGATTATGCATATACCCTTGACCAGCACCCAATGTTGAATCAATGAAATACTAGTGATTATTAAGTCGTATCATATTCCATGCATGATCAGTTCGACTGAATGTTGATTTGCCTGGGATACAACCGTAGTCTTTTGCATAACCACTTACTTTTTCACATGCTAACTACACACCATCACAAACTGCTTTATAAATAGTATTATATACATCACAAATACCTATTTTACTTCGAAAAGCATCATTCGAAGTTTGATGTTTTATATTACCACTAAAAAGAAATTCACATCACATTCAAAATTTTGTGCAATCCACTAAAAGATGATCCATGCAAAATCAATTAAGTTCTTGCCCATTGATAAGTTCTTATCTAGAAAAATTACTTCATTAAGTGAAGCTGCTCTCCATAAAATAATGTTCTTTTGATAATCTATATTGTCGATAGCATCTTGTCGCTGACGACAAAATTCAGAATCGAATAGATAACGATTTATCAAAAGCATATTAGAAGTTAAATTAATACTTGGCGGTGGATCCTTATTAACTACCTGTTCGGTTTCATAAGCTTTTTTCCTTTCTCTACTTCGTTTATAACTATGAGAACACTTAACAATTGTTTGTATTACTACTGGTGGTTGATAAACTTCAAACAAAGCTAGTTGTCGAACATCTTCTACAGTTGTCTGTGTATTGATATTACGTTTCGATGATAATGATCGTTGATCATTTTCATTATCGATTTGCGTACTAACTGTAATGTTATGAGATATTTTCCAATTAGGAACAATTCGACAAACTGATGACGGACGGTTTTGAATGAAACCAATGGAATACTGTTCATTGTTAATAAGCCTTTTAGTATCAATAATAATACTTCGCTTTTTTGAAAATGAATAACTTGATATCGAAGTTTTCGGTTTTCCTCGTTTCACCAGTAGTGATGGAGATAATGGACACTCACATTTTCTTTTTGAACAATTGTTGTTCTTCCAGCTACCATGACGAATAAAATAGCTTTGTTGTCAACCTTATTGATAAATTTATTCTTTATATAGCTTTTGTTTTAGAAACATTTTTCTTCTGTCAACTTTTTTCTTAGAGAAATTTCTTTGGTATCTATGAATGTGTTCCATATAAACAATGAGTAACGCGTCCGTGACTTCGCAAAAAGGCAGTACGTCATAATATAGAAAATACTTGAAATAAATCATTTTTGCGCATTCTTCTGTCAATAAGAATCGGTATTGATTGTTCTTCATAGTTGACGAAATTCAAATGACGACAATACCTAATTTTTGACTTGCTACGCAGTACTGATCAGCCTTAGATGGTAAAAGTCAAACATATACATTAGAAGTGGACAAAAAACTAAATCAAATAAAAGTTGGGCAACAGCATTATGTAAAGTTTTTCATGAAGCTTCTTGTACGTTTCTTATATAAGTAAGGTGCGGGAAATTCAAAATTTGAGCATCACTTTTTTTTCTCAATGTTTTATAGATGGTTGAATAGAGCTCGTCAAACTGTATAAGAAAATGTATTTTAAAATTTTTTTTCTTGCTTTATATCAAAAAAAAAATCAAAATACTTTGATGAAATCAGTCCATGTAAAAATCGACTACTTTTGAGAAATGGTATTTAAATTTCTCTTTTTCTTGTTCTAATGATTCTAAGAATATTATTTTCTTTATCAGTATGAAAAACTGAGTATAATACATTAATTTAAATTAATGTATTATACTCAGTTTTTCATANGATCATGGTTTTTTCAGACATCTTGATCTAGGGAAACCAATCCTGATCGAGGATGATTTTCAGTTACTCCAGGATTTTTTCTAACTATTGCCATCAAGAAGAAAACTAAAAAATACAGCTGCTCTAAACTTATGTCCACCACTCTATAAATATATTATGTTGTTCAGTTCTGTTGAGTTATGTTCTAACTCACAACAATCAAGGACTTTTTAACTTTTGTATTGTCTGCGTCAGAATAATGGCTGCTTTCTTTCAAAATTGAATACTCCGAAAGTTTTAAAAAGTCACTTCGCCTATTCATAAAAATACTTTCAAAGCTTTTTTTTATGTCGATACACAGAAGAATTCATTGGTTCATACATGACAATATGACAAATGAAAGTTAAAATTTATTTTTCAATAGAAGAAAATCATTTCATAGTTTTGTACCTAATTAGAAACAAATTCTGTCTAAGTTTAATTTTGCCTAGAACATGTGTGATTTATTATTATATGTTACTTTCTTTTAGAATTTAAGTAGCATTGGTAATGCTTTATCAAGAGAAAAACTTGATTCAGATTCTCTTGTAAAAATTTTATGGCCAAAAGAAAAATGCCGGCTTCTTCGAGATGATGTGGTTCTAGTCGACAGGTAATATTCGATGAATATTTCATTTAAATTACTACATAAACATCTATTTCTATTTACATAAATAACTTTTGTAAATTTTGGAAATCGGATAAAAAGGATGAATATGAAAAGAATCATAGATTACAGTCTGATTGCAATAGTGTAGAATCAACAAAAGATTTATTGTGTAAAAAAGAAATAAAGAAAAATCATTGTTGTTACTTGGATCGAATGGTAAATTGCTGTATCGATAACACAGAGAACACGAAAGATAAGAATGAAACACTTATCTTCACCTACACATTCATCCAATTTATGCGCACAAATCTATATTTCAATCCCATACTTCGTTTTTCGTTTCAGAACAAAATGAAAATTTTTTTAACATTATTCCATCAGTACCAAACTGTAGTAATTATAGAAAACTATTATAGTTCACTATCGAGATTTTCACTTAAATTACCTAAATGGTTTAGTCAATTTCTAATAGGAACCCAAGTCATTTTAGGATTTTTATTAGAACACTATGTGGTATCTATAGGCAAAGAAGATCATTAAAATCAGAAGGAAACATTTAAGGAGGTTCACTTGTAAGCAGAGAATCGATAGAAATTTTATTCCATATAATACATTCATTCAATATGATTTTATTTTTAGTCCTGGCATCGATGTTTCAGTTAATCTCGATGAATGGATTGAAAAATATTGTTTAGATGCTGATGTATTTATACTTGTTATATCAGCTGAAGCAACGATTACAGGAGCAGTAAGTTTAAACATGACTATCTTTTAAGTAAAAGTAAATAAAAATTTAGGAAAAGAAATTTCTACATAATGTTGCCCAACGTTTATCAAATCCGAATATATTTATTTTAATGAATCGTTGGGATGCAACAGATAATGAACCTGAAATGGTTGAATTGGTAAATGAATATTTTCTTTTTTTGTTTTCAATCTCTTAGGAATCTTTTTGTCTTGGTATTATTTAGGTGAAACAACAACATCTTGATCGAGGTTTAGAATTTCTATGTGATGAGTTAAATCTATGTGAACGAAAAGAAGCTACAGAACATCGAATGTTTTTTATTTCAGCCCGTGAAGCTTTATTAAATCGAAATATTGATATAAGTACTTCATCAAAAAGTGGATTTAATAAAGGTTTATTGAAGTTTTTATTTCAAATTTAATCATTGAATTTTTCTTATTCTAGCATATAAAGAACGTCTTGTTGAATTTAATAAATTTGAACATGAATTTGAAAAATGTATATCAAAAACAGCTGTACAAACAAAATTTGAACAACATACAAATCGTGGAAAAGAAATTGTCATATTATTAAGTGAAATATTAACTAATATAATTGATAAATCACAAACAATAAAACAAGAGTCTACTGAAAAATTAATTGAAATGGAAGAAAAAAATAATTTTCTTGAACATGAATTAATTTCAATAACTGCAATAGCTAAAGAAAAAATTCGATATGTATCAGAAGATGTTTATAAAAGAGTAGCACAAACTTTAAATGATGAAATTAAACGGTAAGTTGATTTCTTAAAACGAATTGGAAATTAATAATAGAAAATTTTATATTCACTGAATCGGTTTAAAATTCTATTGCTGATTAACCTCCTGGATTTAGCGTTTGTAAGGCTAATCCAACCATTAAGTCTCTATTATTTTGTTGTAAAGGCGAAGAATACTCTAGAAGTTCTGAAACGATTTTAAAATCGCTCTTGTATTTGAACGGTGATAAAAAAAAATAAAGTGTTAGATGGTTGAAATAATTCACAAGACGAGAAATTTTTAAAGAATTGTCATTCAATGAATACAAATCAAATTGATTTATTCATTTATTTATTTTAGTCTTTATACATTGATTGAAGAATTCGATCGTCCATTTTCATCTGATCGTGATCAAATTCCACTCTATAAACAAGATTTACATCGTTGGATTGAACAGCGACTTGGTTCAAATTTACAAAATCGTCTTCACACAACATTATATAATTCATTAGATATTGTTCATAGTGAAATAAAAGAACATGTTAAATCAGTATTATCAACAAATGAACGTAGATCATCCGTTGATTCAATAATTCCACGTTCGGATTTTGCTATATCATATCGTTTGGATTGTTCAAATCTTTGTTCAGATTTTCATGAAGATATACAATTTAAATTTTCATTTGGTTTAACATCATTATGGGAGCATTTTGTTCTAAGTCAAAATAAATCAAAATATACATCTTCATCATTATTTAATTCTTCAAATGATTTAATTACAACAGCAAATAATCTAACAGCATTATCAACATCAAAATCTAGTTTAGTTGCATTAGGCATTTCAGCATTAATATGGCGTAGTATTGGATGGAAAATGGTTGCTATTGTTGGTAGTATTTATGGTAGTTTTTATCTTTATGAAAGATTAATGTGGACAAAAAAAGCACAAGAACGTGCATTTAAACGTCAATATGCTGATTATGCATCAGCAAAAATGAAATTAATTGTTGATTTAACATCAGGTAATGCAAGTGCACAAGTTCAACAAGAATTATCAATGTATTTCGCACAAACAATACATTATGTTGCTATGGAAAAAGATGACATTCTAGATAATATACAAGAAACTAGAAACGAAACAAATCAATTAAAATCTTATATTGATAAAGGAAAAAAAATTAAGAAACAAATCGACAAAATTGACAATGAATTAAATCAATTCTCAAAACAATATTTATTAGTTGATTCAACGAACACAACAAATTGATTATTTATTTAGAATCAATGTTTTTCACTTCAACATTTTTTTTTCTTTTTTAATACTTTTTTCACGTACGTATGTGTAGTCTTGTTTTTCGACTGACTATTTTCTTTTGTTCTTCATTTTGAAGCAATAAACAAAACTTAACCATGTGATCCGTGTAAGATGGTGCTCTGAAAAATAATTGTAAATCTTTTTCTTCTTTAAATATATATGTATAACTCAAAGAATAAAAGGGATTTATCAGAAAACTATCTTATCATTTTTTTAAACCAGTTTTTTTTCTTAATTGGTTATATAAAGATATTCGGAAAGGAATTCTTTGTTATTATCAAATGATTTATATGAAGTTTGCGAGGCTGATGTCGAGTCCTTTTATAATTTTTTAAGATTTTTCAAATGAGTAATCTATAATGATTGTCATTAGGATACAGATTGTTTCATTAATGAACAATTGATTAATCGCTTGTGAGACGAGGCTATATGCATCATCTGAACTCAAATAATTTATAAATATTTTGAAAAGAATTTGGATCCTTCACTTATTGCTACAGGTGTACTGTATTCTTATGGTTAGTTTTGATAGAATGGAGTGGTCTACCCAAAAAAACACCAGGAAAAGTGATTTTTGACTTTCAACTTGAAAATTTGCACCGGTAAAGGCCTTAATGAAAATATTTTATCGAGAAAGTTGTAGGTCTTTTGATCTGCTTCCATTCAGAAATAAGAACATCGAGTGCATCAGTATACGTTAGCGATGTACAGTCATTTGTTTTCTACACAAAGAAAATAAATATTTTTTAAAAGTAATTTGGTCAATAAATGAGAAACTTGAAGATGTCGAATAGCTGCTTGGGAGAACGCTCGTCCGCTGGGTAGTTAATTACTTAGTGAAAATCACCAAGAATCAATGATGTGTCAGCTTGTAGTTCACACAGATCTAGTGTCGTTCTTGTTGTGTATGTATTCTTGTTATTTTCCTTCTTGTGTATTGATACTTTTCTCTTGCTCGCTTGTTGTTTCTTCTTTCTCATGCATATGATATATGGTTGGTTTTTTCATTTCTGTCTATCACATATATTTGGTTTTTTCCTTTTAGATGGTACTTTCCATTTAAGAATGCACTAATTAGAATTCTTAGAATTGGTTGGAATGAGTCTTGAAAAATTTGGAATCAGATTATGAATTTATGTGAATATGTACAAAATTATTAATTTTTCAACCAGAAATTGTAACTAATTCCAAGTAAAATAGTATAGGAATTGGTACATCTATCTTTCCACTCTTCCTCTATGGTTTGCTTTTGTCGGAGTTTTCTCATCATTCAGCTTTGGTTATCTGTTGGATAGTTCCCCATCAGGAGACGATTCGCTGTCTTATATATAATTTATGATTTTCTACAAATACAGTATATGTGATACGGGCACATTTATCTCGCATTATTTACCAATTAATGATCATGAGATGGCAATCTAATATATTACAATGCAACAGCATGAATATAAGGTATTATGTATTGAATTGACTTGTATACATATGCTCGTCAAAATGAACGAACAGTCACAGAAATCGAATCTAATTTCTTTTTGAAAACCAATCAACAGAGATAAACTGTTTTTAAAATAATGATCAAATTTCTCGTCTCGTACGAAAACTTTTGTACAAAATCACAAGTCAAAAGTTTTTATACGATGACTATAACCATATACATACATATAACTATTATTCATTTGAAGAAAGAAGATCCGTGAGTATTTTTTGAATAACTTTTGATAGGAATAAGGTAGAGAGCTACGACTTCCATCATTACAAAGAGAAAGCCCTAGTGTATAAATATGTACTGATGTTCAATTGACCAGCACCGAATCAATCGGTTTATTTCTTGATGAACATTTTTAAAACGATATTCTAGCTCTATTTTTCAGTTGACCTTGATTGTAAATATGATAGATAGATGGAAAAAAATGTTCTCAGTCGATCTAAGCAAGGTTAACAGTGTTAGCTTATTCTATTCAAGAGTTCTAAGAATTTTCTTGAGAATCCCAAGTTTAGCCAGCTGACTTGTGATTAGTGGTGAAGCCAGGAGGAAATTGAACTGCGCTATCCCAAAACTCTAATTTTGCCATTGTCTGTGATTATTCCCAAAAGTATTTAAGCAGAGGCAATTCACTATGCTTAGTCGAATGGCAATATTAATTTTTTTAATTAAAATAATCTTACCTTGTTATCTGAATATTTGTGGCAAGTAGACTTAGTATGCTACACAGCGGCAGATGGTGAAACTTTGAATACTCTACAATAACAGTATAATATGATTTCAATTCTAAAAATACATATTGATATTTGACTTAGCACAGTAAATTACTCTTGTCTAAATGTTTTTTTCCGATGAACCCATATGAATTAGCTGAAATCGTAGGTCTCAAGAAAACTCTTATAATTCTTGAACAGAACAAGTTAACAATGTCGGTCTTGAATAAATCGAAAGAGAACAATTTTTCCTATCTATCACTCATATTAACCATCAAGCTCAACTTAAAAATGAGTTCAAAATATTGCTTTTAAAAATGGTCATCAAGAATTAATCTGATTGATCCAGTCCTGACCAATGAAGGCGCAGCATCTAATTGTATACATACACCTGTGTAGTTTCTTTTTTATGACGAAAGTCACAGCTTTGTTTTTTTTTCGCTATCAAAAGTTATTCAAAAGAAAGTCCAGAGATTTTCTTTGTTGAAATGAATAATAGTCTAATATTTGCATAATCTGTCTATCACTTCATCGAGAACTTACAAAAGATATGAAAAAACTTCTGACACATTCAAAGAAGTAATCTATGAAAGTAGATGCATAGATAACACGAGCATTGATGTTATGATTTTTATTCTCTCTTTCAAAGATTGTTAGCCATACAAAATATATTGAAAGTAGATCTACTTGTCGAAATTTAGCTACCATTAACTCTTAATAACTGCAAGCTCTTTTTAATGGAAATCAATCTTTTTTATAGTTCACTAGTAATAATAATACTGTAACATTCATTTCACATCAACTTTTATTGTTTTGTTATTTTTTCCCACTCTATCATCAACAAGAATGAGTAACTGCTGACTTGTTTTTCTTTTCACTGATGTCGTGCAATATGCTTGATGACTCATCAACTTACACAATCGTGCAATAATTTAAGCAGAACACGACTTTTATAACCTCTTTTCCTTGTTCACATTTTGTTTTTCTTGGTGCGCTAGTTACTCCAATTTGCTGCAAAATTTTTTAAAAAACGATTTTGTTTTAGATATTTATCATGTATTTTGGATCTAAATACGTTTATAAATATGAAAATTCATCTGACGAATCAATATCTGATGATGAAGCTGAAACCTTCAAAGCTGACAGTTTATTTTGTGCAGCACCAAGTTCAAATCGGTGAATATTATTATATAAAAAAAGACAATCAATTAAATATAATTTTTAAATATTTTAGAGAGGAGGCCGCTGAGCTAGAATTAGCTGTGCCTGGTGCTGCTGCCGTCACTGCTGTATCTTCGACTGCTCATAAACGAAAAAAACGTTTGCGAAAAGCTGATACAAATGTACTTAGTGTAAGATTTGATCGATTACTTCACCCCGGTAATTAAAGAAATTGTCTTGTTTTTTGTGCAACAATAATAATCAAATCAAAATTGAATTATTTAGGTGAAATGCATGCTGGTGATCCAGTTTATTGTACTGATTGTGGCGCTATTGCTTCACATTTGAGTAAAATTCAAAATGAAGAAAATCAAGAATCAAAATGGCAATGCGAATTTTGTCCGAAGTTAAATATAGTTGATATTGAACAAACTGATTTACCGAAAAAAGAAGATGCCACATATTTAATTGCACCAGCACCTATTGTACATGGTTCCGACATGACTGGTGTTGATGATTCAATTGTTATTTTTTTAATTGATATTAGTGGTTCAATGTCATCAACAACATTAATAAAAGGTGCAGTTAACTTACCAAATGCACTCCGACAACAAGAACGTGCTGCGGCTAATTTTGATGGTGTAAATATGATTCGACAACGTAATCAAACATATGTGTCACGCTTACAAGGAGTACAAATGGCTGTCGATGCTAATTTGGATAAACTTCTTAAAGATGCACCAACACGACGAGCAGCTTTATTAACATTTAATCATGAAATAACTTACTATGGTTAGTTTATAATGTTTTGTTTTTGTTTTTTTTGAATTTTTATTTAAATAAATTTTAGGTGATGGTACAAGAGATGAACCATTAGTTATCCGAGGTGATAAATTAAATAGTGCTGATGAGTTAATACGTGAAGCTGAACGTGAATTAAATAAAGAATTAAAACCTGTTTCACAAACGAAAACAAATCTTACGGAACGTGTTTATGATCTTGAAGAAGGTGGTCAAACAGCGCTCGGTCCTGCCGTTATGTTTGCACTTAATATTGCATCACAACGAAAAGGATCAAAGATTGTTATTTGCACTGATGGTAATGAACTTTGACATATTGATTTTTATTGTATTGAATTATCATTTATTATTATAGGCTTAGCTAATCGTGGTTTGGGAAGTTTGGAAATGGCACAAGATGAGAAAGTTGATGAAGCTGTTAAAATGGACGCACTTTCCGAAGGAAATCGATTTTATTCTGGATGTAATATTCGATCTTTTAGTTGTTTTTATTATTTGTATGATGTTTTTGTTTTTATTTAGTGACTGAACGTGCAAGAGAAAAAGGTGTTAGCATTTCGGTTATTACCATTGCAGGTAATTATTTTAAAGAACTTCAAAGAATAATTGCTCATTCAACAAACTTTAAACATACATACTTTCAATTGTTTAGCGAGATTATTAATACATTAAATAATAGAGATATGAAACATCGCTTATCATGAGACACATTTATTCTTTGTAAAGTGTCTTGAGACAGTCATTGATATAAAGCAGCAATACAGAAAGACAGTAAAATTCCAATGACATATTCATTGACTGAAACACTGATACTATAAGAATCTATTGACCTTTGTCCAGGATAAGAAAAAAAAAAAACTCTTGATCCGCCATATCGTTCGTTCAGAAATTTTACTCATTTTCTTGATTATTCTTGATACAAATATGATCACTTTATTCTTCGCTGAAATTTTTCCGCTGAAATCCATTCCAATAGCAACATTTCACTAGTTTTCACATTTGTAAACGATAAATGTTTATTTATATGTATATATACTTATAGGTACTGCTTGCTTACTTCCTGTTATTGGACAAATGGTAAAATAATCTTTGATTTTTGCATCTCATATTAATATTTCTTTATGGTTACATAGGCTGATGGCACAAGTGGCAATGTAACAATTGTTGATTTATTAAATATACGTGATGAATTTGCATCAATACTTGAACAAAAAGTAATTGCAACAAATGTTGAAGCAACGTTAGTTCTTCATCGTGGTTTATATATACGTGATCCTGATAATCCAGACGGTAAACTTGATAAAATAAAACGCGATATCGGCAATGTAACTAAACAAACTGAAGTATCATTTGAATTTGGTATCCGACATAAGCAAGGTTTGTTGATTTAATTTAACAAAAAAAAAAGAAATTTTCATACAAAATAATTTCTTAAATTTTCTTCATTTAGAATTAAAAGACAAATATAACATCGATCTCGATCAAATAAAACAATTACCATTTCAAGTACAAGTCATTTATACAGCTGCTGATGGTAATAAAGCATTACGTGTATTAACACAATTAAAAGAAACAACAGAAAATCGAGAAATAGCTGAAGTAAATGCTTATCGTAGTGTTATAGCTGATAATCACATTCGAAGTACAGCTGCTCAAATGATGTAAGTTTTTCCATGAATACTAATTTTTTTTTTAATATTTTTTATTTTAGGTTGTCATTAGATGAGGATGATGACGAACACGAGGATGAAGTACGTATAACTTCCAAATGGTCGAAACCTATCATGCAAAAACAACGCATGGCCTATATGGATAATCTTAATAGAAGAAAAGGTGCCGATAAATATAATGATGATGAATTTAATGAAAAGTAATAACAATTTTTTACTTATTATATTTTTTTTATTAAATTTAATTTTCTTTTCTAATTTCTTTTTTTAGACGATGGAAGAAAACAAGTAATGTACTAAATGAGCATGTTGTTTCATCAAAACCAAATAAAAGTTCTGTATCAAAAACTTCATCGAAATCAAATGAAAGTCCGTCTCTATTCGGTCGATTATCACGTATCATATCCGGTACAACCAATGAAGCAGCTTCGGAAGGTGCAGCTAGTGCATCTTCAACAGCAAATCCTCCAAAAAGAAGTTATGGTTTTGCAACAAAAAAACTTGCTCTTTATTCTGATAAGAAGTCGGAAGATCTTTATAAATTTAAGAATATATCATCAAGTTATATGCGATCATCAAGTCCAACACATGAAAACAATGAATCAGATGATGAATCAAATACTGGTTCATCTACAGTTGATAAAAAAGATGATGATAAAGAAAAACCAGACTCATCCAAAAATCGACGTCAATCAAAAAAATAAATATAGACAGTAGTTATTTTTCTTGTATAGATCTAATTAATGAAAAAAAATCTATTAAACACTTGATGATGATTTCGTTTGTATTGTATCACTAAAAAAATATATTTCTATTAATTTTATTTTATTATTCGCGAAAGAATTTTCATCTATATCAAATAAAGATTAAATATTGTAATTAACAATACGAAAAGTCTTTTATATTTTTATTCATATTGAAAATTCTTTTATAAATAACTACATATGCAATATAATCAAGTACCTTATTACTTCATCTAGTCTTCAATATCTACGAATGTACTTATTGTTATTCTTTGTTTTTTTTTAATAACAATTTACGACGCAGAGGTAACTACCGAAATGTCTAGACAATGTTCTCCGCTCAGGAGAATATCGTGAAGAATCAATCTTTTTTTTATTAAGAAGAGCATGTTCTAAACTTTCAAATGAGATATTATTTGTAAACATATTATTTTTTGAATTCAATGACACATTGAGAAAGAGAAGCACTTGTAAAATATGTTTACAACATGTATGAAGACGCAGCACATAACTCATGTGATACCTACCGAGAAACTACAGTCGGTATATCGATCAGTATAATGTGCACTATATCGATGGTTGTTTTTTTAATGTATTGTATAAAAACCAGTGAATATTTTTGAAGTTTGTTAAAACTGACCGATTGAGTCAATACCGATGCACCCTGATAATGTTGATGCGTCTGAGCCACCTTTACTAGCCTCAGAATCCCAATCGGCCTCATTTACATGATGAGTTTTTATTATAGATGGTGCTGCAAAAATTTTTATTTGTAAAATATATCCTGAAACTGTTTTCTTCTCAGTTAGTTCCAATTCTTTCTAATAAATAATTCGAATTCGAGCAGAAAACACTCTCTGCAGTCGGTTACCGCTGGAGCCAAAAGTCGTAAGCATTACCACTGGGTCTTTTGATTATCGCAGTCTATTCGCAGTACTGCAAACAAACGTGCGACATGAACAGATTGTGGAAACAATCGTTCATTAGTTCAAGAAACATAATATATCAAAAAGAACCATTAGGTAGATGTTCAAAATCATGATACAAGCAAGTTTTTACCATGACAATGCCATCCAACTAAAATAAGGTACCAACAACATAACTGTTTGTTGAAAACTATCAAAAATAAATCTAGTATCAGTCAACGCCATATTTCAAGACGTTATAGAGTTCATCAAAGAACAATTAGTCATTCATTGAGAGAAAGATCATTGAGTGTCATTCGCAAAAGATGAAAGACATCGAAAATGGAAAATATAAAGATCAAAGGAAATGAGCTAGAAGAGGCTGTGATAAACTCTACAGAATGACTTTGAATGGGTTTGATATTATTTTGAGTCGTAGATGTCCATCACGACTGGAAGTCTACTACTGCTGCGGTGCTACCAAAATCTAAACATATCGTGCTGCTGCCGCAATGGTTTTCGAGAAATTCTTCAAAAATGTCTTCCATCACTGCACTAAATTAGCACAGTTAGGTTGAATCTATCAGATTCACCACTATTCTGGCTTATGAACTTGTAGACATTCAAATCAAGTGCAAAATCATGTAATTTTTCAATTTTCCTTAAGAAAAAGCTGATGCACCGCTGACGACGCCTTTTCAACGGTGACACCATGGATATCTTTCTTTTGGACAATGAAAAATATTTTGATATAAGTAGTGATAATGTTAAATGTGATCAAAGATATTATACAGCAGACCTATCAACAATTTCCTCTGATGTTAACTATAAAATAAAGCAATTCTCGCCAAGAATTTTAGTGTGAATGACCATGCCATCAAAAGATGCATCCAGCATTTATGTGAATAAAAATGAACAATTAATTATCAGGAAAATTTATTTAAACAAATGTATCAACAGAAGATTATTATCGTCTATTGAAAAAAAAGTAAAAAAACGAAAATTTTGTGTTTTGAGCGAATAAAATCAGTGCACATTGTGCTGATATTGCCATTAACTGATCAAACGAAAAAAAAAAAATAATATACCAATTGTTCCACAGGCATGCCCGATTGAAGCTGTCCCGAGTCTATTGGAAGAAAAAGTGCATGCACAAAATTCGAAAGCAAAAACATTGGATTTATTAAATCATCATATAAAAATGAATTTCAAAGAACTTAGGCAGAGTGAGTTATAAACAATGAAAGCGGACGTTCAAAAGCAATTGACTCTTTCCATGACGTAATGACTTATTTTGTATTTGTTGATTTTGTTTTGGTACTTTGAAACATGTTCTTTTAAATACAAAAAATTGATTCTCTACGATGTTTCACAGAGAAGAACCATGTTTGGATATCTGGGCAATTATTTTTGCATTGTAAATTACAAATAAGAGCAATACAGAAGTTAACTAAATTAATTAAGATAAGAATAAATTTTTGAAGAGATTATTTTTTTGTGGGAAATTTGAAGTTTATTACGATTTTTACATAACTGATTGGTGATGTAAGCTAATTGACTGTTAATAGATAAAAAAGGATCCCGTCGGATTTTGTAATCTATCTTAAATCAGAATACCATATATTGGATCTTATGAAGCGATTAGTAGCGCATCGAATGGTATGTAAGAAATCAAGTTTTTCTCAAATTTTAATGTGCTGATGGTTCATTTACTGGTTATAATCCTCGAACAATATATATGGTACTGATAGACATTGTGCGATCCCTAAGATATTTTAGAATATACTTATGCAAATATTGTTTTTTAAATTTAATTTGATACAGTTATAAGTATTCTTCAACATTCTGTAATCAATAGTTTCCATCGTTGCTTTATTCATACTTACAAATGATCATTTTCTGTAGGCCTAAGTTATTTGTTAACTACATGACATTTCTATGTGCCGAAATCTGTGTCACAAAGCAAGTGAGTACTAATGTGAAGCTTTCTCAAAAACTGTACATTACTGAGTTCTATATGCTTCATAGATAATATCTTTCGACACAGCAATGACGCACTGTCAACTTGCAAGAATATCCCGTAGAACAACCTATTTTCCTATATGTGCAGGGGCCGATATATTGACTAAATTTAACAATATTCTATGGTTCTATTAAAAACTTTTTTGTAACAATAATCAGCAAAGCATCTCTAGTGCACTGATATAAATAACTACTTTATAAACGGAAAAAAATTGTTTGACTTCCGGACGCCTAAAGGAGAATACGGGAATAGAGTTGCAGGAAGAAGGTCTCTTACTTTTATTATTGTTTTTTCAGATTTTTGTTTCGAGCATCTATGTTTGACTTAAACATGAAACTCTCGAAGAATCTCTATATATCTTATGCTCATCTCAAAAATAAATTTTTTCATGTCCTCGTACCCCCCCCTCCATGGATACGAAGGTCATAATTCTCTTTTCATTTTTAAAGCAGTTGCTCATATCAATTCATTAGGAATGTTCTACTGACTATTGATACATAAAAATTTTTCATAGAATCATTGAGTATTGTTAAAATATCATCAGTATACCGGTCCTGTCATATAGGAAAATAGATTATTCCAGGAGACACTCTTTATTTCTTATTAAGATTTTCTCTCTTTTCTATTCTAAAAGATTTCTACACTAAGAAAATTTCAAAAAACAATCATCAGAAACCTTACGCTAGGAGCTGATCTCTGCATCAACTTACACAAGGATTTATCAACTTTCCTATGTAATACACTTGTTTATCATAGCACATGTCATTCGAATTGTCTAAACTGACGAGTTTTGCCGATTTTCATAAAAAGCCATGATTGATCTACGACTCTTTTTTTAAATTAATAAATGAGCAGCTCTAGTGAAGTTTTCATAAAAGAATCACTAAGGATTCCCTTAGAAACTCCTCGAGGAATCACGACAGAGATCTCATGAGAATTTTCCTAGGAATCTAGCAGAAGAATTATGACTATTGTTAACTTTTGTATACGACTTTGTTTATTGTTGAATATTCATGGGTTTCCCATAATTGAGTAGGATAAGTTTTGCTTTACTCCTCCTCCTCTGTAAATATAAAAATATAATTTTTTCTGTCAATTATACTTACCAATGAAATTATAGGTGATATTAATCTAAATCAAGAAAACATAATTCATCTTGTAAAATAATAAAGAATACTTACCGTGCTATTGTTCTTGAGATTGATCTAAAAGAAAATAATACAGTTTATTTCTTAAAATAATATATCTACCCCTTAAGTTATAGAATATTTTCTCTAATAAAAAAAGATGGATTATACAAGAGCTGAGCAAACAAAATAGTCATGTGTGTGTTCTTATTGGTTGAAATTAATCACATAGTAAATATTGAGTACGCAGTTTCTATCCGATACTATGCCATGGCAATACTCACAATATTTATAAACAAATAATAGACTGACTTTCTGTCAGTTTTTGAGAAATTAGTCTCTTGGCAATAAAAAAAAAATAGTTGAGCACCGCCTCCATTTCGCAATCAGAGTGCATTTAATCGAGCTGAAACACACTTTTACTTATACTAGAAAGTATTTAGGGTGTCTGTTTTTTTTTTTGTTTCAAAATATGATGTACTACTGATTTTGTCCGAGATTTACAAAATAAAGCGTTAGCTATAAAAACATGTATTTTTGAGAGTATCCTCAGGGTTCATGTGGTTTTATTCGAACAGAAGAAGATAAAAAAGATACTAGAGAAATTAAGGCAGCTTAAGCAGTGTCTCTAATCTGTAAAGAGCTTTTTAGCCCTATTAGACGTATCGTAACTGAAAAATGGTGGTCATTTTTCTCGCTTTGTCTCTCAATATTTCCATCACGCACGCAGTCGGGAATTTTCAGTCTACGACAACTTTCTTTCCACTAATAGAAATCTATCAGTCCTGAAAGTTTCCACAGTTTTTGATAAATCGTTCTCCAAAAATGTCGAAAAAGTGGAGCGAAGGCATATCATGAATAGATTATGATGAATAATGTAAATCTACTATTGAATATAAATAAATC